CTTTATATTTTTTAAGATTTGTATGAAATTTTATAGCGAAACGTATGAAGTATAATCATGACAAACGTGACGATATTTCAATCACAAATGATATTTGGTAGTATTGGTAATTTATTGTAATTATTGCTATTTGTTATTGTGAATGGAAGTGACGAAGGAAACAAAAACTAAATAAATTAAACTAACCGTTGTCATCAAGTATTATAAATGTTATTATTATTGACAGTTAATACTAATCATAATAATTCAAGTTATCTTCTTGGAGTATTGCTTGAGTGGAAAATAAAATGTTAATATAATTTCAGTGTTATGATAACTTAACTATTATGGTCACACTGACTTGCAGAAGTTCAATAAGAGATGAATAACTCTGCGAAGAATAAAATATACTCATAATTCTAAATTGATGTAAAAAGTTGTGTTTCCCCGCTTTCTCTTCTCGTTTTCTCATTCTCTTTCTCTCTCCTCAAATTGTTTATAAAAGTAAGCCGTCACATAGGGAATACGCGCTATGTAACGCGACGCGTGTATTTTCATTCGATTACATGTAAACAAACATTAACGAAGCTGTATTTTGCTCATATATTCTCTAGAAATAGTCAGCAGCATTGTTTAGTATTTTTTGTAAGCACATAACGTCGCAGATGACATGGAAATTATTCGTAGTTTTTTTGCGTTTGCAATCCACGCGTAATTTATATGCATGTTTGTGACTAATTTTTCCAAGAGTATCTTTGTCCCTGACTTCAATTTAAAAAAATTATAATTTTGACAAAAAATTATATTTGGGGAAAAATTACACATTTTTGAGTATCTTGAAACAGGTCGAGGTATTTTAGTTCAGGATATTTCACGTTTCATATGATCTAATTCAATGCATAAACTCAATTTTTCGTCATGTTACTTTATTTTTTACAGCATGATGTGACATGTTGTAAACCAAAAACAGATGAAACAAGAGAATTTGGCGAAAACCCAACTATGCAGACTATACAATTGCTAATTGTAAACCAAGGATGAAATGCTTGAGAAGCACTGTAATTTTATCCTTTTTAAATTTGACCTATTATTGTGTCTTGTAAACACAAAAATAATGTAAATGGCATATTGAACTGATGCAACTTTTTGCAGCTCAGTAATTTTAGTAAAATCTATTGCTGGCTCTAATATCATTATTAATTGCCATATTATTGTTATTATTAATAACAATAATGATAAGTGTTAATGATTAATATTATTGATTATTATTACATAATAATCATGGCCATTGTTGATGGTTTATAGTAGCATTTATAGTGCTGCTGCTTACTATTGAAATGGATATTACTGATGAAGTGAGATTTTACTAAAAACTTGGATCAAGAAACGACGGCCGATTCCTTATAAAGAAGATAGAAGGAAAAAAGTACGAAACGAAAAAATTTGCTTACAGATAGACAGATGCCTGTAATCTAACTCATGTCTAAAAAATTAGGCACTCTCTCATTCCATCTGAACAGTTAAATTCCATCGTTTATTTTAGTTAGCTATTTTTTTTTTACTATTCTAGTATTTTAGTACAATACAGTTTTCTAATAAATGTTTAGATAGCAAAACATATTACCTTGTTTGCAAGTTCTCATCAGAAGTTTATATATTTCTTCATTTATATCTACCTTATAATGTGTAACTAAATTTTAACCCTCACTATATAGCGGTAACATGCGCTAGCAATATGAAAATTTCTATGAAAAATTCAGATATTGATATCTGTTGTATAAAAATGAGTTTGTGAGAGCCTTAGCCAAATTTATAGTTGTAGAAATTTATAATGCACAAAATCGGAAACGTCGTATGATTGAAGGTTTGTTACGATAATTTTATCTAATTTTTTGGGACCGTATTTTCGAAAAATGTGTTTTATTACAATAGTAAAAAGAAACAAGTGAATAATGAACTTTTTATGTTCGAACAAAATATATCGTAATATCATTTTGTAAGAAGTGTTTATTAGTTTAACTGTTAGAAATGTCTTAGTTTTAGAGGATGATTAGTATTTAGATTTCGTTTTTTAATATTATTTCTTAGCAGTCACATTACACGTATAGTTTTTATCGAAAGTATTTCTTTGGTTGCTTTCTTTGAAACATACCTCAGTTTTGAGACTGTATACCTCGTAATATATCGCATGCTAAGGCGATTCAGCCAATGTCTACCTCAGTTTCTGGAGCCGCGATGGCACTCAGAATGTACAGAAATATACCTCTCATGCTCATTATTATAATGACATGTCTTTTTATTCGTAACTTGTCGCATTTATGATTTCACGTCATTAGAGTTTCGTTTCTTCAAATAATGTAGATTGTGGTTAGCGTACTCAAATGCAAGTCATTTATTAAGTGGTAATTCATTTCGCTTCGACGCATTTAGCACTATCAATCGAAACATGTCGAGATATCCAAGTTATTCACTACTACAAAAATGTCGAACTCTCGAAATCAAAAATGCTAAGCAATTTTTTATCTTTTCTTTGATGCACATTGTATCCAATATCTCTTACAATTTTGAATTTTTGGTGTCAAATGGTTTCAAACGATCATATTTGTCACTGTTCTAAGAATCACACATTACATCGAATATCTGATCCTGGACATTTTGTTCATTGCTTGTTGCAGAAAATCTGTGCAGTAGAGTACAAATATTGAAATGTGATAGTTGAGTTTACTCAAAAAGTACTCTGCGATTCGATCCCTAATTTTTGCTAGTAATCGATGGTCAGCTGTAGCATGTACAGAAGATTAATTTTTATTTGTATCGAGTAGGGCAGGAGCTCAGTATAAGGTACATTTTTACTGTTAGTTTACTAAATAATAAACGACTAAGGAAGTCGTTTCTTCTTTTCAAAGAGTTCCTGCGGCCTTCATTGCCATTCTTACAGCCTTACTTGCGGGTCGAAATACCTATAATTTGTAATTTATACCATCAGAATTATGTTTACCATAAATATTTTGTATGATAATAATTGTTACCTGGAACGAGCAGTTCATATCCTCCGAAACTGTCATCGTTCCACCAGCATTGTCAAACTGACCGCAGTAATGAGGGGCTGAAAAAATGGTAACAAGACGTCTATTTGCAAAGAACTCGTATCCGTCTTGTACGACTTGGTGTGCGCGGGCTATCAAATCCAACTCCAATTTTTGACATATATCAACTACCACGTCCTGCCCAAACGTGTATGATGCTCCGCGAGTGTTAGCTTGCCATCCTTTTACCCACTGATCTGGATCAGACCTGGAGTTTTTTTTTTTTCAATTATTACTATTTCAATTTGTAGCAGTCTAATGAGAAATAAATTCGTAGAATGGGCAGTAAAATTACCAGAGTAGATCAATTTCCATTGATGGATTAGGGGGGTCGATGGGGCGGGGTAAATTACGCAGTTGATCCAGATTATTCAGATGAGGTGAAAGGCCACCATGCATACAGAGAATTCTTCCTCCAATATAACCGCAAAGCGGCATCCAGTTAAATGTATCCTATCACAAATTTCATCACAAAAATTTACCAGACAATTTTTTTGAGTCCTCTTTTTATTCACTCAAAATATAGAGTCATATATTTACCTGAAAAACATTCCATAAACGAGTAGAATGGTATCTACGGTTGCATTCTTCATAGAATCCATATACGCGGTTTATAGCCGGCGTTTCATGATTTCCTGCAGAAATCCCCACTCACACTCATCCAAAGCATTACACTATCACGGGATTGTAGTTAGCTTCAGATTCAGTGCAGATGGAAAGAATTATTTGCAAACTAATTATTAATTTCTAAGCAAACCTCGAAGCATGAAGAAGTTTTCAGGATACTTAATTTTATAGCAGAATTGGAGGCATATTGTCTCGATATTCTGTTTGCCTCGGTCCACAAAGTCGCCCAAGAACAAATAATTTGATTCAGGTGGAAAGCCATTTTTGTCATATATACGCAACAAGTCCGAATACTAACCAGTTTTTGCAATAAGGTCTTCTTATTTCAAATGGAATTATTTTTCAAACAAAAATTTTAGTAAATACGACCAAATAGTGTATCGCATTTTTTTATTTGTGAAAGTCGAATTAATGAACTTTTAAAATAATATAATAAAAATATCAGATTAATTACTTGGCCGTGAATATCGCCACAAACTACTAAAGGTGGATCTACTTCAATTAGGCTGCTTTGGCTAATGAATATTTCTTTAGCTTTCTGACATACTCGATGGAGTTCTTCTTCAGCAACCTATCAATGTTTCATTAATTATTTATTTAGAATCCCATGAAATGTGGAAACTGTCGTAATAAATTGCAATTTGAATCAATAGTTAGTACCAGTTTGGGAATAATTTTGATGTTTACAGTGCCGTAATGACCACGTGAAATGTATTTGTGATATTTGGTATAGATTCCTTTTGTACAATTGGACCAATAACCTCCTTGATTTATTTTGTTGCCTAAAGTTTTACCTGTGTGGTAAGACGTCCACCAGCCATTCCAACGTTTAACAAACGGCTAATCATGTTATCCACGTCCAATACAGCCATCTTCCCAATTATCTGTTAATTACTTTTGGGAGGCATGTTATGAAAAATCCTATTGCTCTTTAAAAATTATAAAGTTGAAATGAATAATAGGAATGTAAATAGTATATGAAAAACTTGGTGTGTATAGAATTCCCAACTCTTTTATGAAGTTAACCCTACTAAACGCTGAGTCTCAAGTCAGAATATAATGTGGACGATCAAATTGAGTAGTAGGGATGAATCTCCTTTCCAATGCACCTCTTCTACCCTTCCACCCACAATCCTTACTATTGACCATGATGTAAGAATGCAAGACTCGCTTACAGCTCCTGCAGAGTCGATTAATTCCTCTCGCAGAATGTAAGTAAATAAAAAGTTTTGCGATTTTCATTCTCTTTATACAACTTTTCTCCTAACTTAAATTGCATAAGTGCGCCTTACTTAAATTTGCAAATTAAAAAAATTAAACTGCTAATTTATGCATTTATTCCTTCCGTATGTATTGCTCATGATTCATTTACTAACTTTTTGGTTTATTTCAATATTTCCATTTTATTACACCACTGGAAAATTTTTTGAATAATTTAATTTTTTTTTAATATAACAAAAATGCATGTACAACAAAACTTGTCACAGATTTCAGCCCTCAAAATTACACATAAGTTAAGTTGTCATTACTAGCAGCACTAAGAGCTTCTTTCAGTGATGGATAAATGGAAGTTCTAGGTATGATAGAGTAGATATTTATTCGCTCGAAAATATCCAGTATTTTTTCTGAAACAAGAAAATATGTGAAATTAAATCAAATAGGCAATTAAATACATTGTTGGATTTATTTATTGCGGGTATGCTTAAATTGTAAATGAATTCCAATTCTGCTGCAGATTATATTTTGCTGTCTGCTTAGCTGTTCAAATCTATAGCTTTTATTTCGAGTTTAGTAAATGTAAACATACCTGATACATCTGCAAACATAACTTTCTTTTTCACTTTCAGTCCTTCCAGAAAAACCTAAAATGTAAGAATTTAAAAAAATAATCCTTTCGTTTCTATGAATAGATTTCCTGGCAAGAAAATTTATTTGAAAATATTTGAAAAATTTTCTATAATTTTCTTGTTAGTCATTAACAATGCAGTAAATAATCAAAAATCAATTAACTCAGATAATCAAAATGAAGGATTAAACCTCTTTGATTGCTTCTATTCCCATCGCATCGATATTTGATATAGCTCCGCAATCAATAATCACTGATAAGCAAGCATTGTCATTCCAATTTTGTTGTTTAACACTTTCCATAGTAATTTCATCTTTTTGTGATAGCTTTTCGTAATTTGCTTGAACATCTGTTTCACAAACTGTCATTTCCTTCTGAATTTTAAAACATCCTCACTAACTTGCTTTCTGCAGCACTTTTTTATAATTTACCAAAAATGGGAAAAATCAAAGTTAATGAACGGAGCTCTCAGTTTCAGACCTAAAAGAATCCTATTGAAAGTAAGGATCACTATTACTAGAACTAAACAATGTATATTTTGAAGGAACAAAGCTTAACTAGTTAACTTCGATGGATTTATCACATCATGACTACTTCACGAAAATACTCATTTCTTGTTAAAAAATTATTTCATTTTTACCATATATAATTTTAAAATCACATTATTTTTAACTACTTGAGATTTGAATAAGCTAATCAGTCGTATTCACAAGTCAGTGAAAGCATTTGAAATTCGAATAAATGAAAACATTTGAGTATTAGGCTCAGATATTACAAAAATTAAAACTTGTATTATTTCTCTACATAAATATTATCTCACTTCAATTAGTGACTCACGTTTTTGATATCTTTAGTACTTTCATTACGACTGATATCAGTTTGCAGTTCGTTACTAATTTGATCCAGAAAAGTTGACACATTAATAAAACTGAGTGCAGCTTCAAAACGGACAATTTTAATCTTCTCGTTGACCGGTTCTAAGCCTTCATAATAAGCTAATGGTTTATAAATTCTGTTATCACTTGTTCTACCAATCACGAATAATTTGGGCCTGAGATTTATAAAATCATTTTAAGCAATAAAATCTGTTGACAAGTTTCCTTTCATTATTATTTATTATTATTATTAACATTCCTTCGCGAAGGAAATCAATGTACTGATTACGTCGAGACATGTATCAAATCGATAGTACTCAAGGAAACGCTCGAAAGTAAACGTCGAGACATGTATTCGCTCAGCGCCGTGGATTCGACGAGGACGAATGAGCGGAGATCAGTACAGCAAAACTGAGCGCGAGGCGAGTGCAGAATACGATCCCACGCCAGAATCAATGATGAAGGAAAGTAGAATAACCTCCATATGATATTTTCTTCTTCTTATTATTATTATATTACTATTATTATCATTATTATTATCAAAAAAAAAAACTAACCACTGTTCTCTAAATGCTACAGAAATAAATGTAAAAAGTATTGATATTGTAAGGCCAGTCATTACATCAAAGGCTACTGTTGCTATGCAACTCACTAACCAAACTGCCTAAAACAAGCCATGATTTATTAATTAAAAGGTACAAAATATGAAAAATTTAAAGCATTTGACTAGTATGGATTACGTGAAATAAAAAACCAACAAAGTCGGGCTTCGAAATTCTCCATAGCTTGGGCAATTCGTTGAACTGTAGAAAAAGACTTTTGAGGCTAACAAGCACAATACACGCCAACACACACTGTAATGACTACGGTATTTTAAATAGCTCAGGAATTAGAGCTTATAAAAATGTTTTAACCAGCAAAAATTGACTCGAACATTTGATTTTTTTTTTACTAAGAAGAAGGATAAATTTTTGGTCACTGTTGGCTTGCAGTATGCATTCACTTATACATGCTATGAGCTATTAAAATCTAGTAAAAAACAAGCAGTCTTGACTTAGTTACTTTATGCAATTATTTCGATAGATAATTTTTAGAAATGTATCAATAACTCTGTTATTTTATATTATTGACTTCTTTAGATAGACGTAGTACAAAAATGAAAACTAACCATGGGAAGTGGTTCAAGCAAAGGTCCAAAAAAAACAATAACTGTCAATAGTATTCCACTGGAGAACAAAATATTTAACTGAAATTCTTCACATTTGTGCAAACTTTTCAATAAAATTGCTTCCAGATCGAAAATTTCTAATTAATGACCTGAGTATTTGCACCAGACTGTGCACACACAGCAGACCGCGATAACGAGGCACCTACGGGAAAAATCGGGAAAAAGGACGACAATGTATGAGCGATGCTGATGGCGTAGAGTTCCTGCAATTTTTAACAAATAATGCCAAGTATATCTATGCTCTAGCAAAGTTTTCTCTTCAGTTTTTGCTTGTCAATTCTTCGATTTCAAACACATTATGCAAATTAAGTTACTTGCGTAGGATCAATTTTGTAGCGTTTTTTCTTTGCAAATAGCTTGGCCATTGATATCACAAACATATATGAAATGATTGCTATTGCAAAAGCATCTTTCAATAAATATGGCATTAAATCGAATTTCGGTATTGCTGGTTTTGGAATACTGCAAAATATAAATTAACAATTACAACCACATACGATTGATTTCAGCAAAAAAAACATTTAATATTAAACTGAGAAAGCTGAAAAACTCGTAAAATAGCTGTCTGCACACCCTTGAGGAATATAATCAACTGTGCTAATCCTGTAATTCTCTTTGAGATCCATTTGTACTGAAAATATTGTCACTAAAATCACCTGAAACCAAGGATACCTGGAAATTAGGTATAAAACAATGGTAATAAGAAACAGCATGAACGTATTGCATGGTAGTAATGAAGAGGCTGATATTACTGTCTGATAATGTCAAACTTCTAGAGTTATAACATTTCAAATGAGAAATTTAATAAATTCCATACTAATTTCATCAAAATATTTGCTCATAATTTAAATTCTACAGGACTTACCAATATGAGTTCAAAAGGTAAAGGTATATTCGACCGCTTCTTAAACCAAGGATTTATATAGTCACGACCAATAAGTAAAAATATTATGGATAAGACTGATATGCCCAGAGCCCAGTTGTTTTTATGTGGCAAAGCCCAGATCAAATCACGCATTATCTGGTACAATAGCGAGTCATAGATGGATTTATGAATCAATTATAATCAAAATTACAAAACATGCAAAATAAAAGATATTATCAGTAAGGGATTAAATTTCGTCTCTTATGGATAATATAAATAAGTAAGACCGACAAGGAATAACATGCCGAAACCAGAATGCCGAGGTAATTTGACTCCAATAATCTTATTGAGTTGCGCGATGAAAACATGAAATGCGGAACCAGTAGTGAAGCCAGAAATTAGAGCATCTGACATATAAGTAGTTAGGAATGCAAGGCCCAACACTGCCATTGCAAGCTGAATTTCAGTCATAATATGCAACATGCAAAATAATATTCAGCATTTCAAAGGTACCACTCTTGCAAGATCTCTTAGTACCGCATGTACGCCAGATGACTTTTCTAAACTACCATTTCAAATCCAACTATAATCAATGATATCAGAATCTTATTTTATTGCTCGATATTAGTCAGATAGAATGAATAATTTTTGAATTTGTCTGCACAGCAATTTCCTATTTGTAAGCAATACAAATTTGTAAATTTTTTACTTGAAATAAGCCAACAGTCATAGCAAGTGTGCTCGTAAGCTCAACTGGAGATATTCCTTGGCCACAATTAACTGTATTTGATTTCACAGTTTCTACACTCGAACTATTAACCGCTTCTAAGATTAAATCCGAATCGGGCAAAATACGTAATCTCACGGCACCGACCATTAGACTTGCAACAGCAAAAACGCCTGTATTTTGTTTTATTTCATTCTTCTTATTTTGGAAATTAGAAATTGGCATAATAGAAAATTTATCATGAATAAAGCAAAAACAAGGCGCAAAAGTTATAAATTAACAAGACTTAATTATACTGCCATACTCGATATTCCTAATTCTGATTAAAATTAATCCAAACAAATGAATCCAACACACCGATAGAAATGTGTCGAGAAGTGCCAAAAATCATATATAAAGTAGAAGTGAAGAATGAAGTATACATTCCATAAACTGGCGGAAGAGTAGCTAAATTTGCATATGCCATCCCTTAACAAAGTGCCCAATATTCATCAACTAGTATACATTGCAACAAAACTATAGTTCACTTCGCTATCATATTTTTATTTCTAAATACTTGAGAATATGCTTGGTGTACACATATTTGCTTTGCAAAATACATGCAAAGGTTAAAAGTGATATTATTAAAAATGCGATATGGAATTGTAAAAGTAAGCTCAACCTTGAGGCACGTGAATGATACCAACGGTTAGGCCTGCAATGACATCGCCATGTAAATCTCTTGTCCAGTCGTATGTTGGCAGCCAGTGCAGAATAGGAAAAAAGGATGAAAAAGTCTTTAGAACAGCTCTCGGAGATAACTTTAGCTTTACTTTTTCAAGAATGTAAGACTTTTTATCTCGGGGTTTTCTCCTGGCGTATTTCAATTCGAATGTTTCCTAAATTTTAATCAATAGTATATTAAATATTAAGCACTTCGTTGTGCTGAAAAAGATTTGAGCAATGGAAAATGTTGAAGAAAGAATGAGAAAGGTTAGAAATATTAGTTTGCAAGCTTTTTCTTGCCTTTATATAGTACAGTATATTACTGCAATTTTTAATAGAAACACAAAATTAAGCGAATGGCATCAGGAAAAATCGCAATTTGAAATGTATGATATTGCGATAGATCAGTGACTTTGAGCAATTAGAGTTTTACTAAGCAAAACTTTTAGCAATGGACGAAAAATAACGATGTAGAGAAGAGCCGATGAGTATCAAATTACTAATATTTAAAGATAGGTAAGTTATTAGGAAAAATCTTAAAATAAACATTCTTGTTATTTGTACAAAACTGTTCGCAATCTTTTTTCTGTCCGAAGTTTGCTAAGTTTATTATTTGAAATCATATAGAGCGCTCTTGCAACCTTCCACGAATATTGGACTTTGTTTTAGCCTAAGTAAAATATTATAAAGTAATATTCATAAGTATTAAGTGTTCTTAATTAATAAAACTACAATTTAAACGTTAGTTATATCGCGCATACACGTAACTTGCGTGTTTCATTTCAGTCATTAATTCTTTCGTTGCATGAAAATTTGTACTAAATCTCTACAAATTAGCGAATGAACGAACAAATGAGATCACTTATTATCTGTTTAATTTTGTAACGTATATTAGCTCCTTTCATAATAAAACGTCAAGCTTAGCTAGTTTGGAAATGTATGCCTAATATTTTCTTATTTAATGTTGACCTTTTGTGTTCAAGTTTGACTGTAGTGTCAAATAAGCGCAATAATGCAAAAATACTTGATTAAAAAAATGCAGTAATCTTTAATTAATTAATTAAAAGCCTTCCTTCCTTCAAATTAGCATATGCAAAAATGTGTGCTTTATTTTGACACTAATTCATTACGCAAAGTTGAGATTCAATAAATTTTACTGTTTTTGGCAGTGATAATATATCTTCTAGGTAAGTTTCAAGGAGATTATGAGATGGCGCTTACCACAAAAGTAGCAATTAATTCTGTGCAGCACAACAAATGCTTAAAATTGATGTCTGAGAAAATAAGCATTGACAGTGTAATTAGTAATTGCGAGAATAAGGCTGGTGCTGAGCAAGCTGCAAAGAATTGCTCTTAGTTCCTCTCCGCAAATTCATCATTTTTTAAGACTGCTGAATGATAGTGTAATCAAGGAACGCTAAGCACATCTGACGAAGTCTGTCGCATCGATTCATTAAGATTCTCCACCTTTTTCCAAGACTGACAACATCTTGAGCAAGAAGATAAATAAGTAGATAGCTGGATAGATAGGTAGATAGGTAGACAGATAGGTAGATAGGTAGACAGATAGGTAGATAGGTAGATAGATAGGTAGATAGGTAGATAGATAGGTAGATAAATAGACTAATTATTAGATAAAAAAATAAATGAATAATGCAAAGAAGTGGTGTAATTAGGAGAAGTAAAGTGTGTAGTGTTAACTGTATGCTATTAAAATAAGATGAAAAAAGTAAAGCATGAAAAGAGTACTGGCAAGCGAGTGGAATTAGTGCTTAGCAATAAGTGAATAGAAGTGGTGGATAAGGTAATAAATATAATAATGAAAACAATAATAGTAATAATGATAGTAATAATGATAATAGTACCTGATTCCATGCACCAGAAAAGAACCGATCTTCCATAACTAATACTAATTAGACAAGTTTTGAATTGTGCGAGTAAATAAAATAAATAAGCATGAAGAAAGGCAGTACAAACAAACGAATGACTGAGTGCAATTCTTTTCTTTTATGGCTTTTCTTGCAGACATTTTCATTGCCTCTCTCTCACTACCTGACTTTGCAGCGTACTTTGTTATTACTTACTTACTTACTTACTTACTTACTCACTTACTTATATGTACTTGCAACTTTGTGAACTTTTATTGTAATAACGCAACCTTTTATTTTCTTCCCTTCCCTTTTTGGTAGCAATTCGAAGGAGAGAAATACGAGCAGTACTAATTCAAGCACTGACTTTAAGCAAATGTACGCTTTGAGAATGAGAACAGCTATGTCAACAAACCTGGTTCATGCTGCTGCACCTGCACAGGTATACAGCTATTTGATAGTAACTGAAATGGTACAAAAAGTGGTACACTGCTCCCTATCTTTGCTTCCTTTAATATCAGAGAGTTCAATAACAAATTTGCTTGCATTCACTTCCTCTTCAAGCTATTTAATTTAATACTTTGATGGTACTGAAAAAAATTTGCATATTTGTGCAATACTCATATGTGGTAAGTTTATTTTACTTCAATTCACATCACATAGTATTAAAATGTTATAAAGTTGTTAAGTAATTATATTTAAATACTTTTATGGAGAACGATGAGTGGATATTATATAGAGGAATGAATGAGCTGTGTGAAACGATGAAATACTATCGTCTGATAATACTTAATTATATTCTGTTCCTTTTTTAATTTTAATTCCATTCCAATCACTTTAAATGGTAGTACTGTCAACTAATTCACTCACTTAGTGAATTTTAAAGTACTTGCTAATATTTGCGGGGAAACAACCGTACTTCACTTTGGAAAGTCATGCAAAACCATACATATTCTAAAATTTGTAATAAAAATTAATTGCATATTATATTGTGTTGGCTGATAGCTTACAGTTATACAAGTTGCTAAACACCAAAAGATATTCAAATGCTAAGCAACTTTTTAGACTCTATGCAGAAAAAATAATCCAAAA